ACGCGACCTCCAGGCTAGAAAGCCAGAGTCTTACCCGCTTAGCCCCCGTGGCTCCCAAGGGAGAGAGAGAGAGAGAGTGAGAGAGATCTGTACGAAATGGGATCAGAACCAAAACAGTTGACACAATGACAGGACCCCACCCTTTCCGTGTTAGCAGATTACTGGCAACCAGCAAACTTTCTTGGATCCTGATTTAGATATTTCTAAATATTGCTACGTTCTAAATTAATCTTGGGCTATTTATTCATAGAAAGTTTATACAAATATATAGACATAGGAAGTTGAACATTGGCAAATATAAGTTATATATGATAAATGTGAATATAAATATTGATAGTATCTAAATATAGAGAATACTTTCCATAAATATAATAAACACTTCCTTGTTACTTGGCTATAAGGTTCAACAACCTAAACAAACGTCTGAGATACTAACACGATTCGCTGGTTATAGGTGATATTACATTAATTTTATATTTATATTTGAACCCGGGGCCGCGGTGACTCAGTGATTAGGACGCTGAGGCCCATGTGTTTTGAAGTCATTTGAAATAGATTTTTATTTTGGGTTTAGAGCGGAACTTTTTACAATATGGAATATGCTTTCTACAACGATCATCTTTAACGTGATTTTAACACGAAGGTAGATCTCATTTCGACAATATATAGTAACATTCTTATTACTTATCAAAGGTAATTTTTAACCTAAACAAAATAGATATTTCCTCAATGATATATCAATCGAAAAATATACTTTTATTTAAAGGGACATTATGTAAGATTTAGAAAAAAGAGCTGGCTGTTCTCGTTATATTTTAAAAATAGATAATGCAACATGAATATATGTGTAATAAGCGCACTGCCATTTTGTTGTGGGCAACAAAAATGAATGCTATTTTTTATATAAAACTCCGACTGAATCCAAGCCTTGGGACTATCTAATATTAAATAATCAGTCTAAGTACATATTAGCTTGGATTAAGCCGTCAGAAATTTGATATTTAATTAGCGAACACTGCAAATGCGCATCGTTACTGTAAGAATCTTCAGTAATCTAACTGCGAAAAGAAGTGTTAGCTCTCGCAATTAAAGAGAAAGATGGGGTTTAACGTTCACTCGACACAAACTAGGTCATTTTGAAGGGGTCTTTAGCAGTGGGAGGAAACATGTGGACCCGGAGAAAACCAATGAGGTTGGATAGGCGACCCTACTTCTTGTCACGTATAAGAGGGGAATCGAAACCACTCCACTTGACTCAATTACAGACCTTATGATCAAATGCTCACGAGGTAAAGCATTCGGTCACTGAACCCCGCTTCCCAATAATGGGCAGTGACCAAGTAATAATATATAGCAGCTATATTTGCATTTCCCAATCTGGTTAAAACACAGATCCCATTTCGTTTCGTTTTTATAGTTCAAAATTTCGTTTTACTTGTCTTTACTACACTTGGATCTGGAAGACTTGTTATTTAACTCGTGTTCTGCTTGAAATGAGGGGTCAGCCAATCAAATGGTCTGTCGAATCGAGTGTTTGACCTTTTTTGCCCGGAACTGTGGGTAATCCACTAGTAACATCAATGCTGATTGCTTAATCAAATGTCTGACGTCATAGGTCAAAAGTCGGTCTTTTGACCCCTGACGTGACCTATCGCTATAACTTGTCAGATCTTCGTGTAGTGTAGGCCATCGAAAGTATAAAAAAACGAAACGAAACGAAATATAGATCTGTACTTTAATCATATTGTTGCATTACCATGTCGTTAACCGCCTCTTTAAAGGCGATGCTTATTATCAATAATATCTAGAATATCCTGCCCCCCCCACCCCTCAGTTACCGTTAAATATAATTGTATCACACTGATCAATGTGGTTGAGACTAAACATCATACCCAATCAAATGTCGATCTAGTTTCAACTTGTTCCTAACACGATAATACGGAATGAAACGGGGTTTAACGTCCTACTCTTCAAGAACAACAGGGATAATAAAGACGGACATACGCCATGTGGTGTTCCATGAGGTCAGTTTTGCCCGGATATCATCAAATTCCAAATATCAAGTGGTCTTTTACATACAATGGATCTCTGTTTTTGGTTCCACCCGCACAACATGACAGCAATAGCCCCAGGTGTGACATGCTGACCATTTTCGGGGGCATGTTCATGAATTTAAGCAGCTGTGGGTCCAAGATGGAGTAAAGATGAAGTTTGGCGCGAGGTCTGGGGGAATACCCGAGAATTATATAAAATCCAAAGCTCTGATATAGGACTTCTGCTTATTTAAAAACGTCAAACCTCTATACTTTGGCACCTAGAAATGGACACAAATGGGTCGCAATGCATATAATAATGTAATAAACTGATTTACATTCAGACGTTTCTGTTTTTACTGTAATTCTAACCAGTTATATGTTCGGCGAAATACGCGAAGAGTCCGAATTGAATGGCAATCTTTGGCGCTGGTTATTCCAGTTTATACCGGTAGTATTCTCCAGTGGGATATGGTGAGCCTCGTTCATCGAGTCCCTTCATTACAAATTGGGCTCGAAAGCATTCTGGCACAAGATGCGTTTGCCAATTTTAAAATTTTCAGTTTGTCTTGGATATCAGAAGTCCATCTTTTCACGGTGAGATAACAACAACAATGTTGATTTAAGTTGACCATTAAGTCCTGTTTGCAATGTCGACGACTGTGGATGATACTTAGTTAAAGGCTTGTCTCCTTTAAATGCACACATGTATAGGATTAGAATGGAGTGAGGCTAAAACGGCGGCAATGCTTCGCATGCTCTTTTGTTCGACGTCATTAAATTGCTTGTGAGAGAAACAAATGCCCCCTACCCCCTCGCCGATCCACCGCTCCCTGGACACGCGCTAAATTATGAACATCTACCATAAAACATCAAAAATTTCAATGCAGTAAAAGTTTAGTAATTTCAATTAATAGTTAGTTATTCAGCCAGGGAGATTGATGAACCTTGTTTACTCAGCTACCTTTCAACATAAAATAACTTCTATTATGTAAGAGCTAAATCTGCCTATTGCAAATCTTTCTTTTGGCATCAAATGCTATATCAATTATTCATTATACATTTATTCACACGACAAGCCCATGCATTCATGCATATACAACTCACTAAAACATCGGATGGTCGTGGTTTTGTACGGATTAAAAGACAATCACCATTTACCAATTTAACTTAGAAATGAATAACCGAAACTTCTAATATAATTTCAAGTTATGTATAATGCGGATAGATCAATAGAATTATTTCTTAGATTTCAAGTTGTGTATACGAGAGATCATTTATTTCGTTGATAATTTCAAGTTTTGTATAAAGGGGGCTGATTAGCTATGTCTTGCATAATTTCAGGGGTTGTATAAAAGGGGATAGGTCAGGTATTTCTTAGATAATTTTAATTTTCGTATAAATGGCGTAAATCAGCTATTTCTTAGATAATTTCAAGTTTTGTATAAAAGGCATAAATCAGCTATTTCTTAGATAATTTCAAGCTTTGTAAAAAGGGGATATATTAAGTATTTCTTAGATAATTGCAAGTTATGTATAAAGAGGGTCTAATCCCCCTTTAAAGAGAGTGCGCCGGTATAATCGTGAATCAAGGCTGTGGATCAGTTAAGGGCCATTTTGAAATTTCAGATATTTCGGGTAATAATAATATTTAAAGATACATTATGGGAGATAAGATAAAAAAGCTGTTGGTTCTCACTATAATAGTTAAAAACTAGATTATCTAAAGGGAATTTGCTGAAAATTTCAGTCTATTTGATCCACTCTTAACGGAGATTTTAGCGTTTGAATTTTCGGCCTATTCTCGATCATCATTACTAAAGTCTGTACGATAAAAAACATAGTCTCGATTATCCATCTCATGATTAAATTATGAATGGAATTCGAACAGCAAATCGGAACCTAATCCAATAAACATCGCAGGCTAGCGATGACATCGAGAGTTGATTATGATCTGGATAAGTTAATTAATATCTAATTAATAATTTAGATAACTTTTCAGGTCTAAAGAAAGACCTGCAATAGGCAGGTTTAGCTCTTGCATAATTAGAAATGATTAATATCTCATTTAAAATACTCCAATAAAAATGAAAGAAAAGAAGATATTCTGAACATGGCGTATATAACAGAACAATAGCTTTCAGGAAGTTGCAAGCAGTTATGGAATTAAAAACAATGATGCATATCATTTATTGTTTTATCATAATTTCATAATTATGGTTTACGATAAGCAGAACACCAAGAACAAAATTATATAATTGATAATTCAAAGTACTTATTTTCAGTGTTTATTTCACACAAAATGGATATCTGAACTATCACTGAAGAGTAATAATTATAAATCTTAGAAAAAAACTATGAACGGAGTTTTATCAAAATGTGGTAAACACAATTTAAACATAGTATGTAAACTGGATATGTTTGATAAACACCATATTATTATATGCTTTCGAAAGTTTGGGGCTACTCTAACATTATCAACATCGACCGAATCCATATAAAATATTGTAGATACATATTATCACTAAATAATTCCACGTCGTCAATTATAAATATCCTACAGTCAGGCCCCAATTTATTGTCTTGTAATTACTGAGTAGTTATTTTATTCCGATTGCCCCCCCCCCACCTTTCAAACTCAAATTTATTTGGATCAAAAATTGATTATATTTTCCGATAAGCAACAAATCAAGACAAATGTTATATTGAATGCTCAAGTTCATTTTCTTACATGTAATTAGTAGGTATTTATTCTATTTTAATTAGTCCCTTTAAAAACGCAAATTTACTGATTATTTATATTTTCCGATAAGCAACATATTGACAGTTTAAGTTCATTTTCTTGTAATTATTGAGTATTTATTTTTATTGACGAGTCCCTTTAAATGCACACATGCTACACCTGTCAAGATAATGGGTTACTTATTGTCTATTTCCGGTTTCTATATACCATTAAACCATACTCACCTTTATACATATGTATATATTTAGCTTTCATTAAGTGGTGTTAATCATATTTCTTAAAATCCACTCGGTAAACCCCATAAATACATAAACACCGAAATACCCGTCTCAAACATTCAATCGGATACACCTAGTCCAAATGGCATCAACATCTTTCAAACTCTTCACAGATTACTCCACGCCTCAGAACCAAACAAACCTATTGAGTTGTTTTGATCCCCCGAGCACTAGTTTACCGAAATATCACTGATTCAAAACATCGATAAATAGGTTCCTGTGTATTTGAGTTTCTTGTGGGTTATCCACAGGGATTCCAAGATAAGACGATGTACTCAGCATGAACTATAATTTTTTAAGAACTAATTTTGTTGTATGTTGTTTAATGTGCAGGTTTTAGGATGCAACAAAAACCATCTGAATTCAATTTCCTTTGTTTATCTTTTACAATTTCCATCACATTAATTAGATAAAATGAAATTATACCACTGTATTCTCAAACAAAAAACACAAAACAAAATATTGAGTTTCTACAATCGAATAAGTATCGATCTCCCAAATTCGATTTTATCTTCGTCAACAAATATCAATTACTATATAAGTCCATCACACAGTAGAGATCAGCATTAATGAAAAAAGATATGAAAATATGTATGACCGACCGCTGAAACAGCTGCAGAGAATAAAACATTTATTGAAACGGCGACAAGATGTTACCTTCGAAACGAAACAGCGAGTATTTCTTGACAAGAGTCATCAATAGAAATCGGCAACATTCCCGTATAAATGCACTCGGAGTCCATCAATAATAACGCTGACGACACCTCATATATCATAGACCAGGGCTAATCTCTTATTCACTAGATCCTGAGTTATTCCTTCTTTTCTTTCATATAGCAAAGTACATCTATTCCGGTATGCATTCAACGAGTCCTCGAAAACCAATACGCCGATATCTCCAATTCTTTTTCATGAACGGGGGGCATCAATGAAAAGAATAGATCGCATGCCGCACTCCTTCGATTTTTCCGCTAAGATGACGGATGTTGAGAGACTTCGGGGGCATGACCTCTGTTCTAGCTAATTCACCAAGACGAATTATGTATGTATGGTAACTACGGCCAGTTTTGCTGTAACAGAATTCGGGTTGATTTTATCATTACTATAAGATATATACAAATCGTTTTTCTTCACCTAGTATTTAGTCAGTTCTAACACGATGACTTCTTGAAAATAAACCAAGGTGCGAAACTTAATACAACTTTGTTACTCTTATTTTTAGCACATGACGTTCGCGCGTATTTATGGCCCCTCATCACAAAAGAACGCGCGTGCGTGCGATAGTGCGTGAATAGAGACCTCTGCCAATAAAACACAGGTAAAAATAATACATGTAAGTAAAAATACTCACAGGTAAATAGAGAGGGGAGCTTAATGCTTTTGTATTTTTCCGGTTTTCTATTACGATGTTTACTTTTTATCTAATCCGCCACAACCCCGCGTTTATTTACACGAACATTAACCATTAATCATATTCGTAGATTTTGTTGATTGTAGTCGTTATGTACTAATGCTAATATTTGGCGATGCTCCAAGTCCATATCACATACTGGACCAATAGTTACGGCGGTTTGTTACGTCCATCAACAATACGTACACGTAATACTATAATTGTTGTCTTAGATCGACAAATCCTGATATAACTCCAGGAATAACCTTTACAACAAACTCGACACAATCAGCAATCAGCGTACATTATACATGCATTATACATGTAACAAGTAAGAACTAGAAGTTCAAATACCTAAAATTAAACCACCAAATTAAACAACTATTCTCATACCGTAAAGAATTCTTCGCTGATTATTAACCCTAAAATCAGCAATCTATTCTTACTATCGCCATACATACAATATGACTGTAACAAGAATGAAACAGACATTCAAACGCCTCCAATTAAACCCAAAATCAGACAGCCATTCTTACGGGTACCGATTCTTACGGTATCGATTACCTCGCTTATAATTAACCCTAAAATCATTCATCTATTCTTACTTTTAAAGATCATCGCCTGAACAAATCGAATTCCATTTTGGCTATGGCCAATCATGGAATATCAGCACGAAACGGAAGTTGTTCAAATGCCTTAAATTAAACCCAAATTCTTACCGAGGACTTCACCTATTAACCTTAAAATCAACCACCTAATGATCAGGCTTTAATATCGCCTAAATAAAACCCGATTTCAGAAATCACCAAATATAATAGTAGTTCAAAACGGTATCGAAGACCCTAAAATTAATCATCTGATTTTTTTTTCTGTTGGGATACATATTGTTAATTCCTATGATACCATTTTATTGTAAATACCGATTTACCACAAAATATTGAAAAGTTTCTTAAAAATAGTAAATATTTACTCAGTCCGTTATCAATTCAAGCCAGTGTCATGATTTGATTTGTAAAATAAATCCAATGAATTGGGGTTTTACGTCCTCTATTCTGAGCTGATAGTGTAGTATAAGAGAATTTTTGCCCAAATGGTTGTATTCTGCGCGTGACATCACAAGGTCTGTCATTGAGTAAACTGGCGTGGTTTCGATTCCCGCTTGTACGTGACAAGGAGGGTCGCCTGTCCAACCTCGTGGGTTTTCTCCAGGTCCTCCGATTTCCTCCCACTGCTAAAAGCCCTTATGCGCAAGCAAATTATTGAAATAAAATTGAACCATATTCCCTCTCCTTAAATGACCTGGTTTGTGTCGAGTGGACGTTAAATTCCATCTCCCTCTCTCTCTCTCCTCTATAACTTGCAGTTGTCTGGAGAAACCTATGTTACTACAGTATGTCTCCCTAACTTGCAAAAACTTACTACACTATGTCTTACTAACTTGCAATAGTCTGGAAAAATTTACTACACTATGTCTTACTAACTTGCAATAGTCTGGAAAAATTTACTACACTATGTCTCACTAACTTGCAATAGTCTGGAAAAACTTACTACACTATGTCTCACTAACTTGCAATAGTCTGGAAAAATTTACTACACTATGTCTCACTAACTTGCAATAGTCTGGAAAAACTTACTACACTATGTCTCACTAACTTGCAATAGGCTGCAAAAACTTACTGCATTATATGTCTCACTAACTTGCAATAATTAACAGAACATTATTTTATGAGAAACAATCACTAAATTTATTCTAAAAGCACAACGCTTAGAGAATACTTGTCGAAACGTGGTGCTTTTAGACAAGGAAAAACAGACCGGAAAATCACGAAAAACTTCCTTGGCTAACACTGCGAAGCGCGCTGAGTCACCCGAGCGCCATATTCACGGAGTCAGTCATGTAAAATAACTCGAGGGTCAAATAGTATATGTACTAACAGAGCATGGGCTTAATGTGCTCAACACCTGCGATAGATAATTAAGGGGAGAGGGTAGAACCGTTTTAAAGTTCCCAGTGAATTACGGATTTTGAAGTGTTTACTGGATATAAATACATATATTGATTTAATATTTGCAGAATTTAGATCATTGAAAATGCGAACCGGAGCTTAACATGGACAGTGGGTTTCGGAATTATATGAAATGAAATGGGATTTAAGGTCCTATGCTTCAACCGGGCTAATGATGTGTACAACCAGGGAAATTTTGCCCAGACAGCTGCAGTACGGTCTACTCCTATTTCGAATTTCAACTGCCAAACGGGACTCCGGTTTTCCGTCCCATCTGAACGACTAACAAACATATGATACATCACTGAAATCATCACCCTACAAAAGCAAATATTTAACTGAACAGTGAAACTGGTGAATTAGAAATCTGGCATTAACAGTTGAAAGTTGAAAGTTTGTTCGAACTGGTTAATGTATTGAACATCTGTTTGGTATATGGGTATATTAGACTAATAGTGGAAATGGTAGATATATATATACATGTTCTATAGTATATAGTAAGTAATGATAGGTTGATTGAATGTACATGTGGTATATAGAACATTTACATACCATCATAATGAAGGTACAAATCAAGGTCAGACACTAGCACTGATTAGTGTGGAGAGGGAGTGATCGATGCTTTGAAACAAGATCTATTTATGATGATCATTAGCTGATGAAAGATACGCCTAAATGTTGATTTTTCCGTTTGCGGCGGGAGGAGTGGGGGATACAGAATAAAAGCTATTTGCAATGCATATTGGTGCTGCTGTGGTTCAGTGGGTAGGGCGTTGTCTCACTTACAAGAGGTACCGGGTTCCAGCCCAGTGTTGGTCGAGGAAGTTCTCGGGAATTGCCAGTCTGGTTGCCCTTGAGAGTCATGCTGACAAGGAACGTTATCTAGTCTAATCATGGAAAACCGAGGTCCCGAGTACAAGTTAATTGGCATATACGTAAATGAACTATTGGCGCCTGGAATTCGTGTCCGGACAAAAACACCTCGGTAGCACACTGCTGCATGGCATATGTCCGTCTTTATTAGCCCAATTGTTGCAGAAACGTAGGACAATTATCCTTATTTCAATATATACGTCCTTGAATTGGTAAATTAATGGTGTTAATATTTATCAATTGACCCCAATCTTTTCAATTTTCTATTGAATTTGTTAAAGGGACCAAACCTGTAACTCAATATTTTCCATAAAATTCGAAATTAAAAACCCGAGTAATAATTCAATATTGATGTTTTTATCTTGATGGGAGTCACGGTGGGTAAGACGCTGGCTCGCTAGCCTGGAGGTCGGGTGTTCGATCTCTGCATTGGCCGAAAAGTTCAACCAGATTTTTTAGCGTAGTTCCCCCTTGTCAGTGATGCAGGACGGGGGGGCCTGACAAGGACAGTTGTCTAGTCGTTCGGAGGTCCCGTGTACACATTGGCGTGCACGTAAAAGATCCCTTGACAATTGGAATTCGATATAAGAGTAGGGCCGTAGTGCCGCTGTACGGGCAAAATTTCCCTCATAGCACACTGTATGGCGTATGTCCGTCTTCATTAGCCCAGATCGGAGCAGAACAGTAGCGCGTTAAACCCAATTCATTTTATCTTGACGTGAAAGTTTGGGACCCAAATATCCAATATTTAAGAATTTCAATATCATTAGTAGATGGTACGAGGGTACTATGTTATGAACCAGGAACCGACCATGTCGTCAGTGCACCCATCACAGGGAGGCAGCAAGTGGGAGGGGGCGGGGTGTAAGATTCAATAAGCTTGTAGATGAACGTAGTATGCAAATAGTATGCAAATCTTGGGCGTGGTTGATTTTTAGGAGTTAATAACAATATTAATTCTCTAATGAAACAAGACATACCTCAATTCTTCATTCACATTATCCAGCCATAGTGTAACTGATATTAAATTCAGAATATTTAGCGCCATCTCGCATGTTTGTATTCAGTTTATGAGTCTGAGTTTGCACACATGCTATAAAGTACGCAACAGCTTTAAAGTTGTACAAAGCTTGGTTCATCATCCAAAGCACGGAGAATCCATTTAACGGTAGACCAACACGGCTTGATAATGCACACCGAAGAATCCACTCAAAGACGTACAAAAACAAAGCTTGAATAATCCACTCAAAGGTATAGACGAGAAAGCTTGATAATTCACGCCCAGGAATCCGTTAAAAGATTACAGAGGAGACAAAGCTTGAACAATCCTCGCAGATGTACAGCTGACACATCTTGACGAGTCCGCTGAAAGGTACAGCCGAAAGTCTACCCCAAAGAACCTGATCAATGGTGTACAACCAAATAAAGCTTGAAGAATCGACTCAAAACTGGCAAGTCTTGAAGTGCATCCCGACGAATCCCCCCAACAGCACAAATGACACAACTTCAGAAATCCGCTTAAAGATACAACCAACAAAGCGGGAAAGTGCACCAGGAAGAACCTGATCAGGAGTACAACCTAGAAAGCTTGAAGCGTCCGCTCAAAGGTGTACAAAGGTTGAAGAATCCACTCAAAAGTGAAATGGAAAAGCTTCAAGAATCCACTCAACAGAGCTTAAAGAATCCGATCACTGTTATAACGGACAAAGTTTGAAGACTCTGTACAGGCGTGTGCCGGGGAAAAATTGAAGAATCCGATGAATGTTAGAACGGACAAAGGCGTGCACCCGAGAAAGATTATAGGATCTGCTGAACGAAGCAACGGAC